CACTCGGCTCTTCTATGCCTGCTCCTATTCCCAGTCCCCTCTGCAGTGCATTTTCTCCCAGATGTGTGGTTCTCACTGGAAAAAATTTCACATAGGAGTGTTTTTTAATAGGGTGCCTGCCAAAATTTGGTCCCACATCTGGGCTAAGTGGTGGACTGGGCCTCCCTTTCCCTGGGTGACTCTGTGGGTCACTGCTAGCTCAGCATCGCTCAACAGTGACGCACCTCCTGATATCAGGATGCACCTTGGCCTCAGAAAATGTAAAAGGCCTCATCCTGCAGACCTTTGCAGGCAACTCGTTCTTTATAACTTTATGATGTTTGGAAGCAGGGACTTCTGTGGAGGCAGGAGGATGGCACCCATTTCCCACTGCTTCTTGATTACCTTGAGGCAAGTTAGCCAGGTTGTTGATTAACTGTGCACTAAAGCCCAGCAATTACAAAGCCATTATAGATATGCCATTGTGTATATCCTCATGTTTATGACTTCATTCTTTGTTAAATCCATTTCTCACAGAAAAATACACTGAACATGCAGTGTTGCAGGCTGAGCTGATGCAGGCTTTTCTGGCCTGTCTTCCTTCTGAATGGGACATGCCCTCCTGCCTGCCCCGACCACTGTCTGCCCATGCACCCTGGGTCTCCGGAGGATGCCTTGGGACTGAAAGACCTTGAGGTGATGGCCATTGGTGCTGCTAGGTATGAGCTGTGCTAGCAGGGGGCCTCTCATGCTGCCTGCAAGCACAGCACACTTCTGCCCTCCCCATAAGCTCAGCTCGGAGTTGCCTGCCATGCTGTGATCACCAGGGCTTAGGCTGTTGCGGCTTACCAAGACCAAAGCAGGGCTTGGGGCTGGGAAGGAGGACATGAGAGCAGAGTCCTGCAACTGGTGAGAGCTGGTGGTGGCGGAAAAGGGGAGTAAAGACCCCCTGTGCAGAGGGAGAGCAGGGTGGAGGCTGGATCCTTGCATTTGCCCCACTGCAGCTCCCTGCACAAAAGCAGGCAGAGATGCCAGCATCGACTGGCATGCTGTGGAGGTGTTTAGTTTCCTCTTTGCCTGTGAGCTGGCAGTCTGTGTGCATGCGATATGACTCAATACAATAAGGAGAATAGCCACCTCTTCCTCCTGCTCTTAGGAGCAGGGGCAGGCCCCCAGCCTTGCAAGGGGGTTGAGAGTGTGCTGGTTCATGGGGTCATGCTGCTTGGCTGTCAGGGGAACCAGTGTGAGCCTGCAGAGCTGCTTACAGTGTTTCCTCATCAGCTGGCCAATTTCTCTCTCAATGAACACATTATATTGGCATGGCTGTTGAATGAATGCAGAAAGCACTGGGAAATGCACGTTGTCTTACAGACAGCTGGAGATTTAGCATGGTTCACAGAAACACCCGTAGCTGAGAAAGTATTCATGAAAACAGCCAGCCATTTGCACTAGCTTAACACTTGCACTTCTGGCTGGGACAAGGAAGTGGCAGCTCCTTAGGAAAACAAGTGGGCAGGCTCACTCAGGTGTATCTGAACTGCAGGAAGGATCTAGATTCAAACCAGCTCTGATTCAGTTTGAGGAACCCAATCCCTCATCCTTTGTGCTGGCTGTGAGTGTCTCAGGTCAAAACACCAATGATACCAGGCAAGAGACTTTTGAAAGGCTTGGGGGAGTAGGAAGGAGAAAAGAGGAATGATGAATCCAGACCCAGGTATTACAGTGCTTTGCAAATCCCACATCAAAACCCAGATCCAAGCATCACTGAGCTGGGGGATACTGCGAGTACAAAGTTTGCTCCTCAGGCCTGTCTGCCATGCTCTTCTTCGAACATTTGCCACTGAGCTGCAAGCAGAAAACAAACTCTATGGTATGGACTCCAGCAAGTCTCTCTGCATGTGGTACTGCCCTTTGTGCATCAGCAGGTCTGCAGAGCTCAGGAAAACGAGTGTGGCACAGGCAGAGGCTGAGAGTTACCGGTGAGTCCTGGGCAGGGGAACTGCACTGTCTGTGTTTAGTGCCAAGCTCAGACTGTGGCTGTGGCTAGAGAGGTAGCTGGAGCAAGGCAAGGGGAGCTTCAGAGAGGCATAGCTCCTTGGGAGTCCTCCATCCTTATCCCTGGAGCTGCGCACTGCAATGGGTACAAGCTAACAAACGTTTCACTGATGGTAGCCTTCTTCCATGGTTTCAAGTTGCCAAGTGAGACCCTTCTTCGTCCATTCTCCCCTCCATGACTAAAAAAACTAGTCCATCCACTCCCTAATGTCTAGAGATTCTTGGGAGGTGCAGAGTTAGCAATGTGAATGTCAAAACAGAATGTGGTTTGAGCTTGAAAAAAAGCAGAAAATACAGGGATGAACACTGAGTGCAGCCTTCTTGTGGCACATCCTCACCTGCATCAAGGCACCCCTCTGTCAGAAGGAAGCACTCCCTCCCAAAGCATACATTGACACCCTCTCCCTTTGCAAGCAGAATTAATCATACTTATATGCCATATTCCATTTTAATTTTTATTGCAGCGTCCAAGATTAAAGGTTAATGTAGTACGTCTCCCCATCTCCACTCCCATTACAATGGAGTGCTTTGAATAACTATTAACTTCGCGGTTAACCGAAAGAAAATTGTTAATCATCGACAAGCTTATGTTGCATAAAAATCATTCTCTGTAACCTTCTCCCAACTGTGGGAGAGCCTTTTCCTCAAGGCTGACCTTCAACCACACCTGGTACCTGCAGCCTGCGAAACACCGAAGATCATACTATGTGGGCTTATCTGCTAGCCAAGGTCACAAAGTATGTGAACCACTGGAGCACAGCTTATGTTTCTTGGTGTTGATGTTCATCCAACGTTTGGTTCTGCTGCCAGCAGAGATACGGTTCCCTGGGCCCTCAGAAAGCACCTAATGAGTGGCTTTGTTTTGTTTTTTCTTTTTATTTAGCAAGTTAAGGGTAATCTGTGGGGTAATCTGGGACACACGCTGTGGCAGTACAGCCTGTCTGTTCCACAGCACAAGACATGCGTGTGTGCACGCTGCGGTTCAGTGGCAGGGTTAGGGCTGCCTGCCCTGGGGACCAGCTCTTATCCTAGCATCAGAGATGCAGGCCAGGAGGGAAGCCCCGTGTGAGCTGGACATCCCCCTATGCAGAAGAGCCCACTGGCACTGCAGGTGCAGGGTGCTGCTTTCTGCCTCCCCGTGCAGCTGCTGCAAGCGGCCAAGCCTGGCTGCAGAGGTGCTGCCTCCTCGTTGAGTGATTACATACAGGAGGCTTGCATCCAGCCATTCAGGAAATAAATCACCCACTGTTTGTGAAGTAGGAGGGAAGCACTTGGGACAGTGAAAGATTAGACTGTAAGCCTCACAAAACTCCCCTTCTGGCTGTAAAGATGGGCTGCGGATGTTGTGTTTTTTAGCTCTTTAAATGATTATTTCTGTGCCAGACTTATTAGGCAAGGTATTGTTGGGATCTTGGCAAGGAGATAAACACGGCTACAGGCTTCGCAGTCGTTCCTCTCCACATCTGGTCACTGTCAGGCCTTCGGCTAATAGGCTGAGGACTGTGTGCTACTGTAAACAGCCTCTGCAGCTGCTAGGGGCTAAATGTAACTATATATTGCTCCAAATACAAACATTTCCACATTAGGCATTGCGTATCCTCCCCCAGCACAGAGCTGCAGCCATTGACCTCAGGAGCCTGCACTGCATCAGCTCGCCCTGGCTTCTCCTTGGCCAGCAAATCTTGTCTCTTTTTATGGCTGTGGCTCTTGAAAGTGAGAGCAACAACCCCAGCTCGGGTCAAGCTGAATGTAACCAAGCGTTGTGCAATCTCCTGCAGATGGTCTCAGTGCTGAATGGCCGGTAGCCATGGGGTAGCAGAGGCTGGAGTCTGGCACGGAGGGACTTGATGGGAACAGGGGCTCATAAACAGGCTGGGGAGAAATGGGTGGTCCCAGGCAGCAGGGAGCTGCAGAGGGAAGGGCTTTGGATAAAGGCACAGATAGCTCCAAGATATCCTAGGACTTTATAATAAACATCTCTGGCTGGGACAGCCCAAGCCCTGCAGAGAGGCAGTCAAGGGCTGGGAGCTGCTCTTGGCTGTTGCCAAAGGCTTCAGGCAAGTTGTTTTGCATGCAAACGTGAACTCCATGCAGGTGTCCAAGTACAGTGCCCAGATTCCCTAAGCAGTGTGCTTGTCCCCTCTTCTTGCTCCCCTGCTTTGTGCTTCTGTCTGCTGGGGGCAATTTGGAAAAGACTGCTTTCAACAAGGTGTTTTCTAAACCTGTCTCAAGAGAAAGACGATTGTATCTCATTAGCTGGAGTCCTAGGTCACCCCTATGATAAAATCAGCTTCCACCCAGTATATGCAGGAGTGCTGCCTCATGCCTGAGTGGACTCCGGGGGGGGGGCGGTGGGGGGGTGCGTGTGTTGTAGCTGTTTTCTGGTCTAGCCTGTTCCCAAAGCACTGCAGGTTTGTCCTTCAGTGCCTGCTCAGGTTAACTGGGTAGAGGACAGGGCTCAGAGGGGCTTTTCCCCAGTACAGTAGCTCAGAATCTAAAAGCAATCCCTGCAGTAGAGACCCAGCATCCAACTCAGCAGGTGTGTCCCAGGCAGCAGCCCCTGGTTTGGAAACTCAGCGTGCTGTGCTGACCAGGCCCTGCTTAAATACATTGTGATTAATGTAGTGTTAGCCTGTTTACATCAGCAATCCAGCCTGCTTGTCCACTGCGCAGCACCACTCAGTGTTGCAGGAAAGAAAGACGCCTTTTGCTGTTTGGCTGACTCCAGGCTGGATCAGCTGGCCAGGTGCACAGCCAATTTCCATTGCTGCTTTGAAGCTGGGAAGTATTTTGAAAAGAATAGGGCCTTTAGCCTTGTAAGTAAGAGCCATTTATCTCAGGATAAAAAAAGTGCTGGCATGGAAAAATTCCAATGCTATGAAAGTCTCTTTTCCTGAATGTCTTGGATACTTGCTGGATTAGGTTCACTGGTAAGGAGCTCGAAGTTATGAATGTCTCTTTCACAGAAAAGAGCTGCAGAAGGAAAAGGCAAGCACTGGCATACTTGTAAGTGGGACAGAGTGAGATTCCCCATGGACTAGACATTTCTGAGATTGCTTTTAGAGGTACGGTCAGCGTTGCTGCAGTGAGCCGAGGTGGTAGTAAATACCCAATGTAACTATAGCTGTTACCATTTCCCAGGGGTATGGTATCAGCAGAATACCTTATATAAACAAACGCAAAGCACTATTGGCTTTGCTCTGCACGGTTGTTTAATAACGCTTTGTGCGCCATAGAGCGTCAGAGTGTTTTATAGACGCTAATGAAATTAGCCTCATGATGCTCTTCTCATGTAAGGAGGTGTTATTAGCCCTTTCACTGGGCTGAGTGTGTGTGTGTTCCCAGATGCACGGGATGTGTGTGCCTGTGCTTCCCAGCAGGAGACACCCTGGAGGGACAGAACCCTCTGTAGCCCTTGATCTGCTCCACCACTCCCTCCCTGTCTGTTTTCTGCTGCCTGGCACCCAGGGTGGGTACAGGAGGAGGTGCTGGGACCATGCTGCTGTGTCACCCCCTGCAAGGCCCCAGGTCTGATGAGCAGAGGCAAGAAACCCAGATCCTCTTCTCAGGTCACTCAGGGTGTCTCTGCTGCACTACAGGACCTTATGTCAGCTTGCACTGGTTCAGCTCCAGGACTTTTTCCTACACAGTCAGTGAATCCAAATAGCAGCCTGGATAGTGGAGATGCTGGAGCAGATCTTTCTCGCTTGCATCTTGCATGTTTATGGCATCTTTGCGTTAAAGGTGGGATGTTTGCTGCCTGCCCTTCTCATGAACAGTAGCCACAGTTTTGTCACAAACATCAGTGCTGGCCCTGGGGTTTATCACTGGAGCTTTGCTTTAAATAGATCCTAAGCAAACCTCTCTCTCTGTTTTTCTTGACATGGTACTGACTGGTGCTTTCCAAGAAACAGGGAAAAGAAAAACTGGATTCACAGTGGTGACTTTGACTCCATCTGGCAAAGGCAAACTTATCTCCTAAATGAGAAAGGCACAGCCACGAAGAGGAAAAACAAATGGGTCACAGAGAGAACCAGCCTGTTCCTTCTGACCGAGTAGTTGCAAGTGACAAAGTCTCACTGGTACTTGTTTAGAAGATCCCTCCATTTTAGGAGTTGCTCTGTCACAAGGATACCAAAGGGCTTTCGGGTACATGAGATCTGCGTACAGAGTTTCATAATGGATTTTATAAAGTTTGCTGCACTTTACCCCACTTTGCTCAGTAAATATTTTGCTTCTAAATCACTGTTTGCCTTTCTGGGTCGTGTGGCCCATGAAGCTGGGAGGCTCGTGCCTGTTGCAGGGGTGAATTCCTGACAGTGGACTGGGAGCAGGGGTGCTGGGGAACAGAATGAAGATGTACCAGATGTCCCCCTTCAACTCTCTCCAGAGAGGGCTTCATTTCCCCTGTGGAATCTGCAGGTTTGTGGTGGCCTGGGAGCTCAGAGGAAGGGCTGAGACCTTCCTGCAAGCTGGGCACTCGCAAGGGCACACATTTTGGAGCTCTCTCTCTGGCGGGAGGTCTGGATTAGGTGCAGATCAGAGTTGTACCATGGAGGTCTGTCATGCATCCTGGGGGAAGAAACTCCTGGGAGCCCCTCAGAGCCTTTCCTGTCCTCTGCTTTGCTGTGTTACTGTGTCCTGGCTGGAGGCTCAGCCAGCAGAAGCTTGGAAACCACTCTGCCTGTGTGGTACTAACACAAGGGTGGGTCACTGAAGATGGTCACAGCGAATTAAGGTAGAGAAAAAATGCCATACTCAGTCTTCAGCCCTGATGCCATGCTCAGGCTTGAGTCCCTTTGTTGTGAAACAAAAGGACAAAAATTGCACTTTTTAACATTATTTCCATAATCTGACTCCTCTGATTCCTCCCAAAGGCTTGTTGGCTGGCATCTGCCTGCAGCACTGCCTGTGCTCTGTGGGTCTACAGAGCTCTCTGTGTGGGTGAACTTAGCCTGTGTTTGGCTGTTAGGGTACAGCTGCCAGAGGAAGAGACAAATCCCAGCTCTCAGTGCTTCAGCACCAGTAAGTTACTAGTGTTTGGCCAGCAGTGAGCTCAAGCTGCAGCATTTGGGTAGGCCTTTCTGAGCCTCTCCCTTTGACCTGTCATGGATGCTTCAAGATGGGGTCTGGTTCATCTGGGGAGAAAAGCTCAGCATGTTCAAACTGGGCTTTTCTACCAACAGGAAGCCGATTGGGAAGACCTCATGAACAGCTGTGGTCTGCTCAGGTTTAGATCTGAGGTGGAGAATCCTGGTGAGCTTTACTGCTGCTGACTGCAGACAAGATGGGAGAGGCAATTGCACATGAAGATGCAGTGAGGGCTCCAGGTGATGTTTCCCTTTTCCTCAGCCAGAGACCTGAATTGGCTCTCTGTCCCTTTGTGAAGTGCCCACCCTGCCTCTTCCACATATAAATTCATGGACTTTGCTAAGGAAGAGGTGGATATCTGGTCTTTGGGAGAACACTGTGCTTTGGGGGTAATTATTTTAATGATGGGCAGAGCCAAACTCCGTATTGCAACACAGGCTGAAACCTGGATGTACTCGAAGGCTTCATCAGGTCTGGGTCCAAATTTGTGACTGTCTTAATGACTGTCTGGACCATGTGCTCCTGGAATTCAAGCTGTGCACCTCCTAAAGCTCCACTTCTGGAGAGATGCTGCTAACAGCATTCCCTATACACAGCACATTGGGTGGGCTTCTCATTGAGTGTGTGTGTGCGTGTGCGTGTGGGTGGTGGTGCAAAATGTAGTTTATTTTAGGGCTATGTTCACACATCTCATTAGGCATACAAGAATTGCCAGGCAGAGCTCAGGCCAGGCTCTGTTGTCCATGCCAGGCAGTGAGCGTGAGCCCCCCCAGACAGGCTCTGCCATACAGCAGGCCCTCCCTGCTGCTAATTACAGCTTGGTTTAAGCTGTGGAACTTGAGTTTGAGGGCCACTTCTACAAACTCTCTGTTATCATGACATACAGCATTGGCAACAATAGGTAATCTTGATGGGTAGACAGAAATCCCATCCTCGCCTGAGCTGACCACTGGCCTTTTCTAACGCTGCTTAGAGTTTGGTCTGGATGATAAGTGCTCTCACTCTGGTACTTCCTGCTTGGGTTTTTTCTCCTGCCTGTAGTGCCCGGAATAAGCGTTAGCAGTCTATTGATGGAAATGATAATTAGAGGATTTGTTATGAGAAATGTGCATGAACTTTTCAAGCTGTCATTCAAAGAAAGACTTTTTTACAGTCAGCTTTTGATTATCTGTGGGCTGCAGATTAGATGTTTAAAATGCCGTGTTGAAAAAAACTAGAACTCTTTCAGAGCCCTGATGAAGTATAATGAACAGTGAGTTTTTTCTTTTTTATTTATAGCCTCATATTGCATCTTAAATTTGGTTTTTCTTTTAAAGGTACAGGTATTACAGCACTGCATTCCTGGGGCGTTGTTTACATATATTTTATGTTATTTGTTTTGCTTTTCTTTCTCTGCCCTCATTGTGCCGGATACTGAGAGCTGAGCATATCAGATTATAGCATCCGTGGAGGAGGGCATGTGACACAGTAACCTTTCCCCAGCTGTTTTCTTCTGGTGCTGCATAAGAGTTTCTGCAGTGTGATGCTGCACAGCCAGATGGGCTGGAGAGGGAGCGCTCTGCTGTGGGGGAAAGCGAATGTCTATACCTGAAAGAGCATGACTGAGTGACAAACAGCTGAAAGAGAAGGGATGCCTTAGAAACCATTTGTCAGGCTGGAGAAGTGGCGGCTTGTTAAAACCGTGCCTGTTCAGTTAAAAGGATGAATTGACAGACAAAGGCTCAGTGCAAATTCAGCTGCCATCACTTCAAAAGCCCTCACAGCTGAATCAGCAGATTTCTGTTTCCATACATAATGGATGCAGCCAGCGTGCCATTACGATGCCCACAACAAGACTCGCATTAAGCTCCTTAAGTTAGCTGTTTATGATATTCACACTGTATATCTGTAGCTCATGTTTTTCCTGAGCTTCCCTCTCTTCTCATGCCTTTTGTTTTTGGAGCCCTGGGAACAGCTGCCTAAGCAAGGAACTGAAGGAGGGAGTGGTACTGACTCAGTGCTAGCCATGCAGAGATTTCCAGCTATGCCTTTCACACTCTCTGTGGCCTTTGCATTGCCCGTAAGTCCTGATGACCCATGCTGGTGCTGCCTGTCCCCACTGTTAGCCAGGGGATGGGATCTGGCAGCGCTGGTGGACCACCACTAGCATGCACCAGTGCAGAGATGGGGCACCCAGCGCTTTCTCCCCCTGCTTCCCCAAGCTCTTTCCTTCCCACCGCCTCAGCCTCTGCTGCCAGAAACACCTTTCCTCTGCCACCACCTCCTCTCAATGGTCCCCATGTCTCTTCAGACATGGCTGTTGCCATGCTCTCCTCTTGGTGTGCTGTGGCTTGGGGCATGTACTCCTCCTGCCTGGCTTAGCTCTGGCCATAACCACTGGGTACAGATAGTGCTGGAGAAGGACACAAATCAGCCCCCCAGACTTCTGCAACATTTGGGTCCAGATCCCTGTTCTTGCTAAGAAGTGACACCTGGTTTTTATTTTTAGTGCTGCTTGAAGAGTTTGAAAGCAGCTCAGGATTTTCACAGAAACAAGTCATGCTGAGTAAAGTATTATTGAATGGTTGTCAACACTCACCCAAACCCTACTGCCCTATAATAGTTTTAGTTTCTTCTTTTTTGAGCGGAAGGAATGAAAAAGAGCAAAAAAACCAAATCAAAATAAAACAACCCCCAACCCCTCACAACAAAAACCCCAAGACAAAAAAAAACCCAACTTTTTCTGTGAAAATAAAAGAAATTATAAAGTTGGCACCTTTTTATTCCAACCACAAGGTTTTCTTAAAGCAACTTTTGGCTGAATTTGCTTAAAAAAAGTGTTGGCTGAGAAATGTCAACCAGCTCTAATATCTTATTATAGATTTTGCACTTAATAAAACTGCAGGCAGGCAGGCAGAAACAATAATACTCATTCATCTTCAACTAGCCCCTTGCTCCCTTTCCCTGCTGCCCCGCTCGCTCCCAGAGGTGTGAACCCTATGTGGTGACGTGAGCCCTTTGACTGGCTTGGGTGGGATTTCTGAGCCAAAAAGTCATTTTATGAGCCGTAGCAGCAAAGAGAAGCACACATCCCCGCTCATGGGGGATACACGGCATCTCTGCCATGGGGCCGTGGGAGCTGTGACACGTCAGTGATGTCTACATGGATACCAGTAAAACACAGCAGAGCAAACAGCGGTGCTGGCTAATCCCCATTTCCTCAAACAGGCTCTTTTTCCCTCCCTTCCTCCCTTTCTTGACCCTGGGGGTACATAAAAGCTGTGGGTGAAACACAGCCCCAGGGAGCTGGTGGAGGAAGGAGGGATCAGCCAGAGCCTCACTGCAGTACAGCACCTTTTGCAGGGGTGGCAATGGGGCAGAACCGCCCCCGGGGGCTTCCTTGCTGCCCCTCTCCAGAAGTGGGTCCTGGAGGCACAAGCAACGCTTCTGTTTGCTGTGCTATTTCAGGAAGTTTTTGTAAGGTAAACAAGGGGCCCCTCTTGATTCACCGAGGCCATAAGTAAACCGTAGGATGCTATTTACATTGCTAAGGTATTTGCACCAGCTCTCTCCCAGACGGCAAGTTCAGTGGGGAGGAGGTGACCTTCAGCGTTCCTTGTTTTGCCTTGTATCTGGCACGTGGGGGGCCTGCCTGTTTGACTGGAGTGCCTGGGTACTGTAATCAAAATAAATCATCCTTATCGTCGCCAGTGGTGATACTGCAATGGAAACAGAAACAGGCGCCTGCTTTGCACTTTGCAAAAGTGACATCACTGCGAGGAGTAGGATGGGAGGTCAGAGGGTGAACTTGAGGCGGCTGCTGCTGCCTTCCCCGAGCACGGCTCTGCTGCCTGGGGCCAGCCTTCCGGCTCCACAGGGCACGAACAAATCACTGCGCATGGCTGGAGAACCGCTCTGCTATACAGATTGAAGCAAATAACAACAGGGAAGTGTTTCTGATGAGTGAAAAGGAGAGAAAGTGGCCAGGTTCTGGTTCAGCCTATCACATTTTCTGAGGCAAAATTGACAGAGGACTCCCCCCACAGCTCCTGCGTCTCTCTTCTCCCTGGGCAAACCACAAAACACAACTTTTCATTTTGGTTGCCTGTTTGGGAGGAAAGAAGTCTGTTTAAGACTGCTTTTTTTCCTGTGGATTTATATGGATGTCACGGTAC